TCATCATCATCATCATCATCATCATCGGTTCTCATTACGCCATGGGACGCATGAGGCCTTAAGCCATCTTGTTGCACAATACTTGAAATCAGATTCTCTAGTTTCTACAGCATTATATAATAATCAAATTGATGCGAGCGCTCTGATTGGTCAATCAGCTATGGTTTGTTGTGCCAGTAAACTCATGGAAATTTCGCGTGCCTACTGAATTATTATATAAAAGCAATAGACCACAAGTTTCTATGGCTTAGAGGCATGATAAACCACTTGGGATGTTGGAAGAGAACTCGAAGAATTCGTAATTGCTTAATTAAACCAAAATATCTCCTTGTTTCACGCTTCATAGTAAGTTTTGTTTCTCTATCTTTGTAGGTTTTAAGGCGAGGGCCATCGCCTCTGAATTATCTCAAAGAAAGCATTCGTAAGTACATGGCATGCGTGAAGGATGCTAACAGTCAACCAGATTGTGAAGATTTTCTACAACCTCCAAAGAATACAGCCAGCATGGTTCCCCAGCAGAATTTACAACAAATGGACCATCACTCCTTCAAAATTTTTTAAGAACAAATTAACTTATCGTTATTGAAACGTAAAGTAAACTAAGAAGAATTGATTATTGATTAATATTTTATTTGTAACTTAAAGCTTGGTTCGACCTCTTATACGACGATTTTAGGGTTATTATATATGGACAGGGATTTTCGTCGTATGTTAGTTTACAGGGTTACAAATTGTCTCTAGGGGTCCCGTTTCCATGCAGTTTTCACAGTAGTAACATGATATAGTAACTCTTCAGTAGAGTACGTTTTGTACGTTAGCGCAAACAGGCAAGAACTACTTTTCATAAATTGGAATAGACATTTCAGATCAAAGTTTTTTGGCAGGATATGGTTTTTCCTTAGGCTCTTCTAACTTTTAAAACAGTAAACATGTAAAACTGGAACTTCAGCCACGACCAGAAATATTGATTATGGTAGTTTTAGATGTTAATTTTAATAACAGACAGGGCAGAGTTAGACGTTTTTGAATTTTGGTAAATTTTCGCTACAACAAGTAAGTTAGAAAGCCCCACTCGTTGTAGTATTTCACGTAGACGTTGCCCAGCAACTAATGTTTTTAATATACATCAAATATGTTATTATTTGACTTCCTTTGCCGTCCGTGACTTACAAAGCGTCCGGCTTTGCGTAAGCTGATGAGCATACCTGTGGCTTTATATGGAAGTCTTCAATCGCGCGCTATAAACACGATAGTCTGTCCACCTGTATCTTATGCAAGGGTAAAAGATATGGATTCTCGTTCTTTCTCCTGAAAAATTGATTCTCTGTGCTAGACTAAAATAGATAAATAATGATACCCTCTTCAGGTTCACATATGTTTATGAAGTCGAGAACCGTGCCATCCCCTTACAAGTGCCACCAATCACCAGGCAACCATTTTGTTGCCTTAAACGCGCTACCGTAGGCGTACGGGCTGGGAGGGGGGTGGGAGTATTGCGGCCCAGATTGTTGGTCGAGAAACGCTCTTTAATAATTTGTCTCGAAGAGAATGAGGCTGGCTCGATCTAAGAAAGATTTTGACCCTGCATGTACAATCAAGAAACTCTAACAATGTTCACTGATTATATGAAAAGTGACCCAAAACAGAAAGAATAGACCAGCATCTCTAAAATATTTAACTTAATTCCTGAATTTGACTTTAGTAGATAGTCCCATCAGTATTCTTAGCATGCGAATGGGTAACTGATTTAAACTGTAAAAAGATACGACTTTATTAAACGTTTCTCATTCGTTGATATTCCTTGTAGACTCGCGCTCTTTGTATGTTGGAAGCACCAAACTCCTATGTCGCCTTAACTTTCCAGTAAGCAAAAGTCTTGTAAAGCATAAACAAGTAAAAATTAGAGATGAGAAAGAACAACGTTTCGGTGACATCGTGAAAATGGTGACACGATGTCACCGAAACATTTTTTTTTTATCGATAATTTTTACCTGTTTAACTTTCTAGTAACCCCACAACTTCCAAGAACGTGCAGTGTAATGACTCGCTTTGAAAAGGGTCAGAAAACCCTAGACAGTCGGCTAAATTTAAACACCGAAAGCACAAGACACTTGTCCTTTACGTGAATTATGAACGGAAATTAATTGGGCATCGGATTCTGTCCGCAGAAAAATTATTATTTAACTCANCACAATATCATGGCCGGCGGAAGAGTTAATTTAGCTAGTTTAAGTAACTGAACTGTTCACATAAAACGGTAAAGGGCATATCATTTGAGCTAAGAAAATATTGGACCAGATAACTCAAGATGGGGTAACTGAGACCGATGGAATGAAGACAATACTGAGAGAGGAAGCGAGTGATTCAGTTTTTAAACTGACAAGGTCTAAGACTAAATCACCTGGTAATGGAAGTCTTTGGTGTTGAATTTTTCTTTCAGAGTGCTATTAGCTTGGTCTTTTAATCTCATGATGGCAAGTTGTCCCAGCATGTAAGTGACAGCCTGTCCCGGGATGCTTTGGTAGCGTGTCACTTCCTTCACTGCTACGTCACTTGTGTCCCATGCGTACTCCTCGAACATCGTCAGCGCCCAGGCACGTGAATTTCCCTTGAAGTGAAGTCCAGTGTCCATCATTAAACGCAAAGCTCTCCAAACCTAAAGAAATACGTCAATCAATGAATGGAGAAATGAATCAACAGTTTCTATTCTTTAGCGTACAGAGATAAAAGGTTTCACCCTTCACAAATGATGGATTCATAGATGTGACCCTAACAATGTATTTTGCCAATAGTTAGAGTAGAGTTGTCGTGTTCAGTCCTACAGGACAAAACTGTGGACTGAGTTGAGGTGCCAGCCCTGNGGAAAAAAACCTGAAACCTGTTAAAACCTGTTTACAACTCATATTTATTTTGTAACCCTCTTACTAGAGCGCTCACAAAAGCCAGTATGGTTTCCATGTCAACTCACCTGCCATTTCAACATTCCATATTTGGAAATTGGATCAACTTGATAAGCGCTAGTATTTTCAGGGATCAGCGGATTCTCTGCGTATAGTGCCCAGCCCTCGGCAAATGCCAGGTAAAGGGTGTTGACTGCTATCCAGCGAATGGGGCCTTCACATGAGTCAGTAAAATGTTCGGTGTAACCTTGAACCTGTAAATAAAGCAAAGCTGTATAAGCTATTAACCTAGCCTGAGCCGGCTAATATGACAGGATATTGACGAGAAAAGATATGCTTTGTGTATTTATAGAGCCCAACTGGAAGCTGATAGTTATTAGTTTTACAGATGCAGCCTCACCTGGGTGTGGTGTCCAGGCCTTGCTTCATGTGCCGCCAACGTGACTGACTCATATCTGGGTCCAGGCTTTGCAAGAAAGAATGGCATGTTATAACTGGCAACCTTGGAACAACTCGCATCAGACGGCATGTAGAATGGTACAGCGCTTGATGGATTAAGGTCGTAGTCGAGTTTGATTGGGCAGCTTGGAGTGGACTTGTAAGGACCTGTTACATGAAACAGTCCAGCGGTCTCATAGTCAAGGGTTGCCATAATCTGTGACAGTAATGTAACAAAGTATTAGGACACAGATTATTATGATCAGAAAATTACAAGGTGTCAATTACAAACAAAAAGTAAGTTCTTTATATATGTATATATAACCTTTATTTACCCTGGGCAGTGTTACAGCACAAGTGCTAGTGGGGCCGAGGAAACAACTGAAATAAATAATTCAAATTGAACGTAACACTGTTAACGTTAAGAATCCCAACCGGCCGCAAGCAATCCAGTTGGCTATTTACAAGCGTGGCCGAGGATTTGAAATCGGGACTACCGAGAAACAAATCCCACTAGTGGCAGGGTGTAGGCCTTGAGCCCCGGACCTCCGGATTGTAACAACAGCGCCCTAAACCACTTGGCCACGCTGCCTCCTAGGTGCAAACTTTCTAGAGAGTCAAGAAAACCTTTGTTAAGCCGTGATTTATTTACCTATAGTTTCCACAATCAGCTCAAAAAAAGACTACGAGAGGGATAAAAACAGAACCCAAACAGAATCATGCGTAAGTCATATAGAGTGAAAATGAGTGTAAAACAAATAAGGCTCAATTTTTTTCCTGAGACAGGTGTTCTCTGCGGTTCTACTTTTATTAGTTTTCATTTAATTTCTTTCTACAGGTACAGGTATTGGAATCCGCTATTTCCAACTCGGTTATTTCCAATTTCCCGTTATCCCCAACTCAAACCATTACCCCTTGTTATTTCTAACCCCTGCCATTTCGAAATAGCGGGGTTCAACTCCGAGGAAGGATGAAGGTCTTCCCAGACTCCTTTGCGTCTTTCGATGTTACAAGATGGCGCCCGTTTTGAGAACACGCGGCGAATTTCATGGTTTTTCGAGTTCGATTTTCTCTGGGTTCAACTGTAGTAAACATGTTATGCGTGAATAATATTAAATCTTGACTGTTAGAAAATAATGAATCCATGTCGTAATAGTAACCTGCTTGGTATGCTCAAACCAGTTCTCCATGGCTGCTGTTCTGTGTGGACAATACTTTTCCGCGTCCTTTACAGTGCTGCATACTTTGTGTGCATTGGCGTCAGACTCATTGGCTGGAATTTCTTTATCATTGTAAAACATCTTAGGATCATTTATGAGCTCTTTGAATCGTCGCTTCGCTTCATTTTCATCATCTACTTTGGTTACTTCCGTGGCTAATTTCAAAACCTGTTCAACAAATCAATCGGCACATATTAATGAGCTGCACGATCAACTCGAGAACTCTGTCAGGTTGGAAAAGACAATATACCGTAGCTCGCTTCCATCGTCATAACGCTCATAATATATTTTCCCTGATTTAGTGGTAAAGAAGGTTCATACCTCGGAATAGAGTTTATCGCGCATGTCTTTACCAAGGTTGTAAATTTCATCCGGTGTCTGGGATGTGGTTGTAAAATGTGCCAGCAGCCTTTTGTAGGAGTCTTTTCCATTCAGTTTCTCGCCTGTGGGAAGTTCTTGTGTTGTTTTCGTATTCGTCTGAGAGCCGTTCACGAACACATAAGCAAGCGGTAAACTACCAAGGCCGGTAGCAACGCTGTCTGGTGCACAGTGTGGAACTTGTTCCTCCTTTATGAATCTAAAAACGGAATTAAGCGAATTGATAAAATATCGGCTTTCGTTTACGATGTTGTCGCTATGTGAAATTTGCGTCAAAAGTTCTCGGAACACCACTGATCTTAATGAATTCGAATAAAAACGTGTTGGTGACATATCTTACCAACCATAACTGCTTATATCCAGCAGTGCGCCCCCTCTCCCCACAAACAATTTTGCACACTGGGAGTGATCACTTTTTCCTAATGCACGAAATTTGAGAAAAGTGGGAAAGGTAGAACACGCTACACTATAGGTATGTGTCTGTTTGTGATGGCTGTGTTTAAAAAAATCAAACGGATGGATAACTCATGGCTTGCTTGTTAACTTGACCTTAACACAACTTGAGAGGAGGGTTGATATAACTATTGTTGGCTTCTCCCCAAGACCAAAACAACTCAAAGCGGAATCGAATGCAGGGTGGGCGCCTCGACAAATGAACTGGTTTATTGAGGCCAAGATTTTGACTTTTCTTCAAGGCCAGGGCTATAACACTCAATTAAAGTAACCATAAAAACCGGAGAACACGTAATATTCTATTTTGCAGGCAAGTATTATATATGTTAAATAAATTAGTATCACAACTGCCATACCTCAACATGTAATCAATTGGTTTGCCAACATACTCAAGGGCAAACTCTCGAAGTGACTCGCTGGCTGATTTTCCAAACTTTCCCCGCCATTCACTCAGTTGATCATCTTTCATGTTCGAGATAAAATCTTTGGCAAGGAAAGGCTTTATGAATGACGCTTCGTAGATTCCTGTCAAGAAATGTAAGGTTATAGCACATAAACATCAACAACGCTAAAAACGCACGACTTTCAGGCATCTTCGAGGGATTTCGAAATGGGTTTATTTGTTGGAGCCAGAAATGGCAACTTTATATCTTTGTGTTAACAATTGAGGGATTATTGTGATTTGGGGTGTGTAATGGTGTCCATTCGCGGAAAATAGAGCCCTATAGGACCTTTAAAGGTTGCGGTTGAGATGAAGAGCAAAGAAATACACCGATGAAGCCCACTACTAGCCGCACACAGGGATTTTCAATTTCCTGCATCTATCATCCTTATAATATTTGGCCTAATTATGCGCCTTGCCTTTTCTTGTTTGGTATCTTAAGATGCATTTGATTCCTACTGAGTGAAAACTGACTTTATTTAAGACTGCGCTATCTAGCGCGCGCTTCACAAATTGCAAGCTAGCTGCAGATCTGACAAGCTGTTTTGGAAAAATTAAAAACTTTTATATCCTGCCAGTCAACACTCTTGTCAAGCTCCTGTGACTGAATAACCTGCAACGGTGAATTTTAACTGCACAGCAATAGATTATGGAACTGCGTAAACAGCAAGAGATCAAAGATTGCCACCCGTTACCGGTCTCTTGTAATTTTGCAGCCAATAACAGGACAGCGAATATTGTTGGCAGTACCGTAAACGGATAACGTTTGGAATCCTAAATTGTCATGCGCAAGTTTTCAAACTTGTCAAATAACAATTTTCTTTAATTTTTCCTGGTTTAAGACAGCGGCTGATCAAACGATCCGGCAGTTGCTAGCAGAAGTTCGCTTTCTTCTTTCATCGAACAAAAAGAGGAGGCAGCCTCTGTCTCACAGGGCGGCTGCATGTGCTCCCAACATCTTTCTTTGCTCAAAACCTTAAAGACACAACGCAACGGTTGCGTATTTCCTTGAAAGGGAAAAAAGACTTAATTTGGTAAGCGTTTTAGAAAAAAAAAAAAACATTTTAAGAGT